ATGATTCCACAATCTTACCAGCATCTAAACTAAAGTACCTACTGATGTATTTTCTACATTTATTTCTGCTCTGATACACATCAAATGTGATTTACACATCTTTGATTCTGGATTCCAACTGCTTCATTACCTTTGCATATTGGTTTTAAGAAATGTGATTCAGGAGGTTGACTCTTACCTTTATAAATCTCAGTGTATCATAACACATCATCTTTGAATATGTTTTTGACCTGGGTTTTGCTTGTGTTAATGCAAAGATTTATCCATAATTACCAACCTGGTGAAGAGGGATTTAAACTAGTTGCTAGAGGAGGGAACCTTAATCCATCCAACTCTTACCAGTTTGATGCCAGTGCGAGATCCCCAAAGCTTGGGGAGGCATCACAGAAATGTGGTGGGGTGGCTCCTACAGCTGGAGTGTTGAAATGGAAGGATACAGGTCCTTCAGGAAGGACAAGCAGGGGGCATGAGGAGAGGGTGCTGCCCTCTATGTCAGTGACCAGATGGAGTGCATGGAGCTCTGCCTGGGGATGAATCCAGACACAACCAGGAGCTTACAGGCCAGGAGCACCTCTCTTAATGAAGACAGGCTGGGAGAGTTGGGGTTGTTCAGCCTGAAGATGAGAAGGCTCCAGGGAGACTTTAAAGCAGCCTTCCAGTACCTAAATGGGGCCTACAGGAAAACTGGAGAGGGAGTTTTCATGAGGGCACATAGAGATAGGACAAGGGGGAATGGTTTTCAATTGAAAGAGGGGAGATTTGGATTAGATATAAGGAAGAAATTCTTCATTTAAGAGAGTGGTGAGGCACTGAAACAGGTTAGGTTGGAACTAAATGATCTTTAAGGGCTCTTCCAACCCAAATCATTCTATTATTCTATGATAATTACTGCTTTTACATTTTTGCTAAGGTCAAGTGGACTTGACTCTTCTGTTTCCTTTTCCTTCATTTCATTGGAGTGTTTGGTTCTCCATTTATACCATAGTTTATTTTGCTGTCTCAAGCTCCCTCCTTCTACGGTTTTGTTTTTCTCCATTAAATAATACCCTCTCTGCTATGTTTTGAATCAAAGGAACCTTGGATATTGACAATGATGCTGTTAATATTTCATGTATTGTACAACGCAATACAATCGCATTGATCCAGGAATCAATGTATTGTATTGATCCTGGAATATTTCATGTTCCAGCTTCATATATTCTGGGGAAAGAGCTGTGAAGAGAGTGGTGAAAGCTGAAATGCTTTTCCCTTCTGAAGCTTGTTTTAATCATGACAGCGAGCCAAGTGCTAACATTTTGAATATGCTGGCTTAGGTGAAGGTCAAAGGGCTGAAGAACAGAAGAGACCAACAGCCTTTCTCACACTACCCTCTGACCTCTAAAATATGTTTTTGTTACACTGAGCTACCTGCTGTGGACACAGCCACCGGCACACACAGTGAACCCTGCTGCCAGGGTAGGCTCATCAGCCCTTGGAAGTTCTGGTATGGACTTTAGTCTAAGTTTTCATCCTCCTGTTCTCCACTTTAGTAAGGTGATTAGACTCAAAATTTGTGAGGTGTCAGCTAAAGTGAAGGTTAACATAAAGTGTTGACGACTGTCATGTTCCCCTTGGGACAGAGAAGTGTTCTGAGACCTCCTTTTCCTCCACTCCAGTCTTTCCACTTATTTCCTGTAATTTGCAAAAAAAATAGTTCTACCCTTTTAGTCTCAGAACATGAGTTTCCGTGAAGTAACAAAGAGGTAAATTAGAAAGAAATACATGGAAAGTAATCAGGAAAAAAAGGGGTGTTGTGGTTGTTTTCATATTCTAATATTAAAATATTAGAAATGAAGGTTTTAATATGGTCCATTGAATTTAGTGGTTTTGCTGTCTACATTTAACACGATTAAAAAAGGGAGGATTTTTGTATCTGGACCTAGTAATAAAGCAGAAAAGTTCAAGCTTCATTATCTAATTGTTAAACATATGGATTAAGTTTAATGCTGTGGAAAATAATTTCATTTTTTCTTAATTTGAAGTTTCTTGCAAATTTTTCTAATTTATCTAGTTTGGTTTCTGCTGAAGAGATTTTTTAGAATATATGGAACATGAGTTTGATTCTGGATAGAGGTTTCTACAGTTTAACTATATCATTCTTTAGAAAGAAATCTAATCCAAACAAGGAATGAACATCTCAGCTTTTTTTGATCTTTATTTGTAGAAGGCAAATGACAAGCTTCAAAGAAGTCAGACTGCATTTTTAAATTAATCCAGTTCTAATGAATTTTGACCCGACTATATTCGATGAAACTCTTGTTTATGTGTATCTCTGCAACCTGGATGTTCTACCAAGATTAATTTCATTGGAAGTCCAGTAAAATGTGTAACACAGTTCACTTGTGAGGCAGAAAAGAGTTCAAGTTCCAGTGTGTCCTGGGTTCAGCAGTGGCAGTCATTTTTCCCCTTCTTGGTAGCTGGTGCAGTGCAGTGTTTTGACTTTCAGCTTGGGAACAGAGCTGATAGTGATGTTTAGGTTTGGCCAAGGACTTTGTGAGCCTCATGCTCTGCCAGGGAGGAGGGGAAGCCGGGAGGAAGCATGACCCAAACTGACCAAAGAGGTATTCCATACCACAGCACGTCATGCCCAGGATGTAACTGGGAGTTAGCCGGAAGGGCTGGGAGACTACCGGGTTGGAGGATGTATTGGTCAGAGCTTGGTCGGGCTAAAATTATCGGTCGGCTGGTGGTGAGATGATGTATTCTCTTCTCTTGTTATTTCCTTTATCATTATTACCATTGGTGGTAGCAGTAGTGATTTGTGTTATACCTTAGTTACTAAACTGTTCTTATCTCAACCCGTGGGAGTTGCATTCTTTTTGATTCTCCTCTCCGTCCCTCCGAGAGCAGGGGGAGGGCAAGAAAAGGGGGGGAAGTGAGCGAACGAATTACCTGACTGGGTTTAAACCACGACACAGTGCAACACTTTAGACATCATTAATTTGCCTTTTTTCTATCTATCTATCTATCTATCTATCTATCTATCTATCTATCTATCTATCTATCTATCTATCTATCTATCTATCTCTATCTATCTCTATTCATGGCTGAATTTAGCTCCATTTTGCTGCACTTATCCTATTTTCCAATCGTAAAAACTTGGTCATGAATTTCTGCCTTTATTTGTGGAGGCTGAACTTCTCCGGATATGTGTGAAACACATGCTCTGTATTAAGACAAATAAAACTATATATATAACTAAAATTAAGCTGCTGCTTACTTTCTATGTTTAATAGAAATGAATTAATCATGCACTTAAGCATTTGTTGGGACTGAAGTCTGTTTGCTGAGTTAAGATGATGGAGTTTTTGGATTAGTTTTTAACAGTCCTCTTCATACAAACACAGAGCATATAAATGTCCTGATTGGTCACATGTCCTCATGACCTGTTGCAGGATCTGGTAAGGATTTTTTTACTTCAGTCAAAACAGGACTTCATCTGGAAAGCAGCAGACAGAAGTAAGGGAAGGGATCCAAGTTTTTAATCCTTTTTTTTTTTTTTCTTTTCTGAACAGACGTTGTTGAGATGATTGAGCTACAGAGCCAGAAATCTAACCAAAAAGTCAGTAAAGAAATATATACAAACATATGTTGGTATTTGGTATATGGTTAATCAGGCAGGCTACAGTCACCTACTGCTGACATGAATATCCACCTCACATATAATGGAGATGACAGAATTTTAAAGATTACTATAGATGAAGAATTAGTATACTCTTTTGATTCTTCATTCAGTCAAGAGAAAACCTAAACACAACACTGACACTTACTTTAATAACTGTCAAAGGGTTCAGCACAGGTTGTTCCAGAAAGTTGGCTAATGGCAAGCAGTAAAGTACATGGACGGGAGTTTTACTTAAAGGTTATACCATATGGCTCAGGTTAACAGATTTCAGTTTGGGGCAATAATCTCTCTGGCAACTGTCAGGTGGGATACTAAATGCATGGAAGAATAATTGTATAGGGTAGATTAGCTGTTGAGTACAGAAGTGGTAGTTTTATGACTATTAATTCTCTGCAAAAGAGAAGGCTACTTAATTAGAATTGTAGGATATGCTGATTCATCATGGTGGTCATGAAGTAATTCTGATTTTGTCAGTGACATTCATTAATGTCTCTACATCTTTAAAAATAAAATTCAAGACTTTGATGATAGTTCCTTCAAAATAAACTCTGCGACACGCTTTTTTTTTTTTAAACTCCCTAGTTATATTAAATATGTGCAAAACTTTTTCTAAGTTACTAATTACAGCTTATTAAAGCTTGCTCTACCTAGTAACATCCCTGTTGGAATTCAGTAATTATGAACGAAGGGGATCCCAACAAGCACCTGTTTTACACTTAAAAGCTCAGAATTACTGCTCTACAGTAACACTTTGTTTTATGTAACATAAGTCAAAGGAGGAATTATACAGCAATATTTCTGTTATCTTGTCTGGAAAGACGAGAAATGGAATTCATATTGGATAGGATGTGCTGCTGTCACTGTACAAACACTAATGACTGCAATATCCAAGAAAAAGCATAATATGCACAATACCTACACTGAAACAATATCACCCTTTTAAAAAATGCTTTAAGATCCCTAAATGAGAAGCCTTTAACTGCAAACCATTACACTAGGTGTACTAAAAATCTTCTGGTGTCATCTAGGTCATATTTGACTGATCATGCTGAATAACACTTTCTTAATTTTCTGAGGTATGAACAGACTACAGTAACAGAAAATCCCAACAGTCTACAAAAGATGAAAATTTTGGGTTTCTTTTAAATCCAGGAAGGAAAAAAAAAGTAAAGAAGCTCACCCTAAATACTGAAGGGTCTACAATTCATTAATCTTTGCTCTTGATTAAAAACCTTAAACCTAACACAGTTAAACACCTACAGAAGATTTTTTGTGAGAAAGATCATAAATAAACAGATGATATTTAAAAAAAAATAAGGCCAAAGTAGTCTTCCCATAATGCATAGAAATCCTCTAATTTACTTCGCGCTCCTTGTCTTTATGGAGTTTGATATTTTACCAAGATTTTGGGCTGGTTTATGGACACTCAATTAGAAATTTAGTTTTTTAAATGCCGAATACAATCATTCATTTTATAAAACAATCATGAACCCCGTGTAATATAGCTTACTTTAGACAAAGTAAAAGACATTGCTTCCATAATTTCATACATGTATTTGTGGGTTTCACCAAAACCTGTCTACATGTCTAGTATTTTTATTCTAAAGAGACACTTACCCTTGTCCTGATGAGATGCCAGAAACAGACAGAAGAGAGACAGATGACAACATAAACATTTTGTGGAAATTATGGTAGCCAGGAAAATAAATTGTAAGTATTTAAACAAACCAAAACTACAATTTCTGTATTTTTAAAGTAGAAAGCAAAACTCTGCAGGGAACTTGGAAAAAAAAAAAGGCTCAAGAAAGAGGTCAGAATGTGAAAGTAAGGATGCCCTACAGAAAGCTATTTGGATACAATGGATTAAGGCCATAACTTTTATCAGAATTGATGCAGGGAGACAAGATGGATTCATTTCACAAGAATGAAAGGAAAGGCTCCATGGCAACATGAAAAATTACAAGAATGTAATGAAAGAAGGAAGATGCAAAGCATTTTGATTGGTTAAAACATAGGATCACATGATCTCATATAGCTCAAAGCAGGTGATTACCATGCCAGAGAAGGTACTAATAGAATTACAGAATAATGGAAGTTGTAAAGGACCTCTGGAGGTCATCTCATTCAACTCCAAAGAAGAAAACAAACTAAGAAAACACAGAAAATACAACAAAATCTCTGCAAATAATTGGGGAAAATAAAAAAAAAAAGACAACATGATACAAAGGGGAATACAGGGACAAGTACAGGATGAGGAAATGGATAAACATGTTGATAGCAATAACTGTATCAAAACCAATGTAATGGAATAAAAGCTAATCCAGAACAGATTTCTGGTTAATATCTAAACAGTAAGTCATTCAAGTGGAAACAGAACAAGAAGCTTCCAATGCAATTACAATAAATTGTCTAAATAGTTTCATAATATTCCCAGAAAACATTGTGATGTACAGAGAACAAGGCTGGATTCACTTCACAAGAGAAAACGCTGCTTTAATTTAGAATTTATCATGAGGACAAATCATAAACATCCCAGGCAACTTTTAAAGGTACTGTGTGGAAGACTCGTTAGCAGGACTTTTGTATTCTAGTTTTGAGGAAGAAAGGAAAAGATGCAAAACAATCATAAAATCATAGTAAAATTTCATTCCACTTTCCCAGTGTCCAGTTAAGTGCATGCGCATAGAGATTAGGCACTAATCATATGCTGGTAAACCAAACAGTTCTGGCTTGAAATCCTCCATGGAGTTCAGCAGTAGTGTTGCCTCTTTTTTAAGATCTGGATTTAATTTTTCATCTGGAATCATAACCACTTGCATTCCTCCTGTCAGGGCTCCTTTGACTCCAAGTGGTGAATCTTCAAACACAAGACACTGAGAAACAAGATGAGGGGAAAAAAAATATAAAATAATGTTACTATGAACTTTTAATCTTTTGTTTTAAATGAGAGACCAAGTAAAATTTAGTAGGAAAGCTAAATTCAATTCCTGGCTTAGACACCCCTAATTAGAGCAAGGGCAAACCTCTCAATCTGAACATCTGCATGGTAAGTAACCTTAAATTCATTTCAATTAAAAAAACATCAACATGCATACTTCAATCCCAGCAACTGATTATACAGATGTTCCTAAGTGATTTATTTCATAGGGATGGGTTTAAGCACAAGCGTAAATTTAAGCAAGTGCTTTAATACCTTCATAAGCAATTCAGCTCTTCAAGACCAACTTTACAATCTGCAATATGACAAAGAACCAGTGCTTTCACTTATTAGGCATGGCATTTCTTACATACACAAGATGAGGGAGACTACACTACGTAGGTCAGTATTAGGACTTTGGGTGACTGGAGGGTAAGACAGTCAGTTGTCCGAAGACAGCTACTGAATTCGTGCTCTATTTGCTCAATTCTTCCAAACCAATGTTGAGAAAGAAAATTAGCAATTACATTGGAAGGCTACTTCTAGAGGAGAGGCAGTTTAGTCACGTAAAAGTTTCATGTCTTACAATAGTAACAATAATTCAAGATCACAGTTTGGAAGCAAGGTTGTTTAATCACTACATTATTTATGAAAATTTTGCAATTTAACATCAGAATATTGAATAATGAATATATAAAATATCACCTAGTCTGAACTTTTCTATATTAAAAGATAATGCTTCTGGAGTTCATTCCAGGATCTATATAATGAAGCATCTCTTCCTGACATTACCCACTCCTGAGTTTGAATTTTTGGTCATGGACAATCCAAAGCAATCTTTGGCATTCAACCATTTGAAAAATTCTGACCTACACTGACACTTCTGCAGTTCAGACTGCATTTATTATCAATATTAGCACTGCTACTACTACTAATACCAAAATTACAGCCACAAGTAATTTTAACAAAGATGTTGGGATGGTCAGTGTGATTTTCTCCACATTCTTCAGACAGTACAACTCTGCCTTATCACAATTTTTTCTCTTGTGCATTAAGCCCTTCACAGTCTTCACTGATCTACCAGATACACAGGATGGATTTTATGCTTTTCTTCACAACACAATAGACTTGGCAACTAATACTGAATGGGTAATACTAGTGATTTGCTAAACTTAAGTTTTAACTTCTGACTGAATCCAGATACGACATACTGGGAGACCATACAACAGCATACTGCATCTTTCAGGCTCTCTAACACACCAGGGAGTATTAGGGATGCACAACGTTGTTCTGGCTGTGCTCTAAGAGAACCAAGCTGCAACCTGCAAAATCTTTATTATGTTCAAAGAAAACGTTTTTGCAAGATGTATTGAATGTCTGCACTATGTATATCAATCTATCAGAGACTGGAAGAGTAAGAGGGAATGAAGCCTTTCTTTCTGCTTTCTTTTCTTTTTAATATATTGATTCTTGCACATCAGAGTGTCAGCAACCACTTGGAGTCTGCCAAAGAAAGTAAGGGGTGCTTTCTATCGCACACATAATAAGTAAAACTTAATTAATGACTTATAGTGATCCAACAGAATCACAGCAATCTTTTGTGCTCATTTCCTTTATACAGTCACTGAATCCCAATTTGAACAATGTGATATCTTCAAATATTGATCATTATCACTATTACTAACTACAAATATGTAACCAGCTGATCCTGCAAAGCTTGGAACATTTGCTATTAGAATGGAAGCACGGTTCTGCCTATAGGTTTTGTTCTTAAGAATATTTTAGTTTGTGACTCTAAACATTCTACGGACAGTAAATGAAAACCTGACAGGTTTTGCCTTTTGAAAAATAAGCTTAAATGTGGCACAGAACAGCATTATCAGGACCTTTCAGAAACCTTTTTTAATCCAACCCATACAAAGAAATGTACTTCACTGCTCTGCCTTGAAAGACCTAATTGACTTCCATGATGTCAGTAAGCTTACTGTACAAGAGGAGCCAATGATTATGGAAGGCAATATGTGTAATGAAAAGCTTAACTAACTCTCTGGAACTAGAAGCAATTAAAACTCTTAATTACCAAAGAAGCCAGGCAAAAGACTCATAATTACAGTAGCTTTAACGTTACAGGTAATAAGTGTAGTAGGTCTTCCTCCAGTATTTCTTGGTACTGGCACTTATTGTCAACAGCAACATTTTTAATGGACGATGAAAGGTTTACAGAGATTCACATACAAAATGGATTTATTAACTTCGTTGCACAGAGATGTTATAAACTGTTCACTGTCCTGGTCCACCCACATACTAAATTTAGAGACATGAAAGCAGCCAAGTTCTTCCTCATTGTGCATAAGTATTGCAACACCAGCATCACTCCAACTGAGAGAGACAGATGAGATTTATACAGACTTCAGCTGAGATGCTGGCTGCTTATCTCCATTATTCGTGAAACTTGTGTCACTGCTCAGTACTACTGCCATGAGATCTTTCAAAAGGTCATACCAATATAGGACAGTTTTCACTTTGGAATGAACTAGATGCTTAAAAAAGTAAAGTAGCAAAGCATACTAATTTGTTTTCCACTCTATGAACCTGTCGTGGTTTAAACCCAGTCAGGTAACTCGTTCACTCACTTCCCCCCTTCTTTCCCTCCCCCTACTCCCGGAGGGACAAAGAGGAGAATCGAAAAGAATGCAACTCCCATGGGTTGAGATAAGAACAGTTTAGTAACTAAGGTATAACACAAATCACTACTGCTACCACCAATGATAATAATGATAAAGGAAATAACAAGGGAAGAGAATACATCATCTCACCACCAGCCGACCGATAACTCGCCCCCCCAGCCCGACCAAGCTCTGCCCGATACCTCCTCCAACCCTGCAGTCTCCCAGCCCTTCCGGCTAACTCCCAGTCACCCCCTGGGCATGACGTGCTGTGGTATGGAATACCTCCTTGGTCAGTTTGGGTCAGGTGTACTGTCTCTGCTTCCTCCTGGCTTCCCCTACTCCCTGACAGAGCATGAGGCTCACAAAGTCCTTGGCCAAACCAAAACATCGCTTGTTATCAGCTCTGTTCCCGAGCTGAAAGTCAAAACACTGCACTACACCAGCTACCAAAAAGGGGAAAAATGACTGCTACTGCTGAACCCAGGACAGAACCTAAAAAAAATAATCACTTAACCAAAGGAAGAAATAATAAAATTACTGCAGCACCTCAGTACCACATCTCCTTACATGAAATTTAAGAATGTAAGAAAGAAGAGTTAGTTAGGCCCTTGTATGTACAGCAGGCCCTCTCCAACCTATACACTGTAAAAGACCTGAGGGAGTATTTATGTAACTAATAGGGATATACATAAGTGTTACTGCAATTAGTGATAACCAAAAAGTCTGGAAGCTTAAAAGGTTAAAATCAGTTTTGAAATTAAGATTTTGAAAAACCTGTGAACATACAAGCATGGGAGTGCTTACTGAATAAATATCCTTTACCATATATGACACTATCAGCTTTAAAACAGAATGAAGAATGAAAAAAAAGGCATAATTTACACATGTAGAACTTGGCTTCACATTAAACACTACCATCTATTGTTCTATAAAAAAAAAAAAAAGAACGAAAATTTCCATCATCTTTAAAATGGGTAAACATAGCCTCAAATTATTCCACATTGTATTACAAAAATCTTCTGTTTGCTGGTTCTGGTCTGGTCTGATTAGGCCCTTAATCTCAGTGAAGACATTTGCAGACATGGGGACTAAACTACTCATTTTAGCACTCTGTCTCTGAACCAGCACATTACTAGTAAAAGTATTGAGTATTTCATTCCCTTTGATAAAAAGAGTGAGAAGGAACTGATTATTTGTTAACTTCTTTTCTTCTTTTAATATATTATTATTTTTACACTGTATTCCCCATATGCTTCATTGGAAACAGCTATGTATTTAATGAGAAAATATTACAGTTTTCATTTTTTTTACTGTTATTACTGTGACATTTACATTGTGGTCTGTTTAAACTCAAGTCAAATTGGTTAAGTCTTTCACTGGGCAAAATATACTTAAAAAACCCTTCAATCCTATTGAGTCTTACAAAGAACTAACAACTCCCCCTCTCCCCCAAAAATCAAACAGCATTCTGGGCACACAAGTGGTTAAAAAACAAATAATAATAATAAATTTTATTCTTCCCTCCTGATCAATGAAAGCACAAAGGGAATACAGTGGAATTTTAAGGTTTCAAATCACAGTTTCAAAAAGGGCTGGTAAGTCTCAGCAAGGTTATCCTTATGTTCTTTCTCCTCTGAACAGGATCAGCCTCTGTTTGTGCCTGGCGAGAAGAGACAGTAGAGGATTATTGTGTCTCTTATCCTCTAATGACACAGAAGCATTTGGTGTCAGAAAGTGACATATTATGTTTGGGCCTTCTTATGCATTGCATATTACACTTCTGTAACGTTTTTATTTATTATTGTTTTTTTCTCCTTCATGATCAAAATAACTGGTCAAAAGTGAGATGTTATTTGTAAAATTTGCACTCTGGAAATATTTGGTAACCTTATACATTAATTTATGCATACATGCACAGTGCAGTCTCCCATAAGCATTTAGAGCGTAACTCAAATTCTGTCATATCACTAAAAAAATCCCCACTGATTTTAATCAGTGGATAGTGAGCCACAAAACAGGCTGCAGGAAGAAATCTACCAAATACAGGCAACTCATGTTGATTTCAGACAGGCATTGTTCATCTCTGCCAACCAGAAGGCAGTCAGACTACAGGTAACTTGTTGACTGTTCACTTCCAAAAATATTTTTACTCTCCTCATTGTGAAAACCTAGCTTATACTCTGTGCTCATGATTTCAAACTAAGTAGTATCCAAGAAACACATTATCAGTCTGGAAGATATTGCCACTATGGGTTTTGTTTTGTTCAAAACCTTTCATCTCTTTTTT